TATGATTGGCTGTGAGACATGTATACATGTCACACCTAATCTCACAGCCAATCATATTGCTGTAATGAAGGCCACGTACGTCACGTGATAGTTATATAACACTACGAAATTCCTGCGGAGTCTATACCACCACCATCATGCATTACATAGTATGTATATATACGATCACACAAACAAATGAGTCATCACATTCAGTCTGTGTGCGAAACGTCCGGAACATACTGTGTGTGTATATCGCCGCGCATATGCGTTAACCACCCTGTATATTGTCTATGGCATTACATAGTGTGTGTAACTCATTGAGAGAGTGATATTTTTATTTAAGCCATCAGTTTATATAACGCGTACACACAATACACTACAAAACATATATATTATACGTTTTACACACGAGTGTGTTATTTAGCAAACAGTGGTTTTTTGATATATGCATGTATTGTATGGTTATGGTAGCCATACATGCAATTTTTTGTATAACATAGTCTGTTTTTCTATTGTTTGTGTTTTTTATTATTAACTCACCAATATACACTTCACCGTTTGCCATGTTTATATAATTAATATTTAATAATATAAATAATATTACAATGACTGTAATAGTGTACTATGGTGTAAACGTACATGGTGTATAAGTGAACAATAGACACGGTGTATATGCAACAAAACAATTAATATTTTATACCATCATTGACTTAAACGCAAATATTTTTTTCTACCAACATCTATTCAACATTATTAATATTAGTGACGTTAAATAACGAACCACCCTGTACCAATTAGTGTGCACACCACAACCAAAATTAACCATGGATAACACATTTTACGAGGAAAACCAGGAGAATAACATCAAGATGCTGAAAAATAAGATGACCCTGGACTTTAATTCGCCCACCAGTCACAGCAAAAAGTCCAAACTGATGAAGACCTGCATTTTAGAGTCACCAGGTACGGATTATCTATAATTATTTTAACCATGTAAATATTAATTGATGTCATATAAATCCCAAAACCAGTACACACTGTGTATCTCCATTATTGTCATTACCTGTCTATATATGTACTTCAAATATATACTGGTATTACATAATGACATATATTTATACCATAATAAATTAGGTGTACATTTGTAGTGTTAGGCACCCGGATCAATATGTCTGTCTCGTTTACATTGGCATTACATCATATAAACATAATGACTCGCGCACACAATATCTTAACTTAATTATAAGTAGTGAATAACGTGCTAGGCAATATTTGTTTAAGCTTTATTGTTATTTACCTTGTTTAACCATACATTAACAATTATATTTGCTGTGTTAATAACAGCGGCGGTTAATTTTTATCATAATAGATCATTGAGTATATAAATATATAAGGGGCTATCGGGTGCCTAATGTAATATGGTTAGATAATTAACTTTGATAATGTTAATACTTTACCCTGTTGACACTTAATACTTTACCCACATAAATAATCGACCCCTAATTAATACCTCATGCAATTTATTCTATGTAAAAAATAATACTAATAAATATTAACAATAAGTTTATAAAACAATTAATAGTAACCAATGCCTTACTTCTTATATCATATAGACCTAAAAATGTGCAAGCTGGGTTCGCCGGAGTTGGAGCGCATGATCATCCAACACGGTATGGTCACCACAACGCCCACCCCCTCCGCAGTGTTGCCATACTTTCTGAAACAGGAGGAACAGGGGGTGACCGAAGAGCAACAGGAGTACGCCCGAGGGTTTGTCGACGCTCTCAATCAATTGCACCGTACGAATGGTCACCAGCAGCCGACCAATGGTGCCCAACAGCACCCGGACCTACCGCCCCCACCACCACCTCAGCCACAGCAGCCGTCCCAACAGCAACTCATCCACAATTCACAGCTCAATAACATTAATAATAGTAATCATAATAATATTAATAGTAATTCCCAATTAAATGGACACCAAAATCACGCCAATAGTCACTTAAATGGCAACCATTTGAATAGCAATCAAAATCATATGAACACTAATAATAATAATATTATAAACAATTGTAGTAATAATAATAATAACTCGCATTCAAGCGACTCATCCGGCGATATGACGATAGCCGACGACCCGACGGGTGCCTCAGTTCGCGGCCAACAACCACAACAACAGCAGCGCCGCAACAGCTATCATATGCTTGTGCCGGCACAACCGCCGTCCCAACAAGTGGTGGTGACCACAGCGGCGCAGATAGCCGTCACCACTGCCGGCACCACGTGTTACGGCAATAATAGCCAAACAATGAACGGCAAGTTTGTTGTCCCCCAATTGCCCCCCGCGGGACACGACCCGTCCCAACAGCACCATCACCAACAACAACAGCAACAACACCATCAGCAACAGCAACAACAGTACGTACAGGTGAGCACCGCTGGCCATACCGGTGCTCACGTGTTGATTAATAATAGCGTCAACCAAACAGCCATCACCACAACCGCGTCCGGGGGTCCGGCTTTGCCCCCCTATTCGCAGGCAGTCAGCAATAATTGTATGTATTTTTTGATTATTAGTTATTGATTTATTAGAGAGAGAGAGAGAGAGAGAGAGAGAGAGAGAGA